AGGACTTGGTCTAAAAATGTCTTACACATTCATCCACGCCTTATAAATTAAAGGCTAACTAGAACTTTTGATTAGCATATCTACATTGGTTTACGCACCTACTTTCCAGATTATATATATGTAGGTATAGCTTATCTATCTACGGCAACCTTTACGACTTGTATATCATATCAACATTATTTACAACATTTAACATTATTTATAATTATTATCATATTGTTACTTTATTACAAAATTCACATACATAATGTAAATATTTTGTAATTATATTTGTAAGTTTCCATAAATTATAATTACATATTATGAGAAAAGATAACAGCATGTTAATTACCTGTATGTAAAATCATAGAATTTAACCTTTTCTTTTTTTTTTTTTAATATTTTCTCCAAATACCACGTTAATGTTTTTAGCTATCGCTCTCAAATAATCTGGACTTTTATTTTCTGGAAGGAAAAGAGAGAAAATATTAAAATTAAATTTGAACAAAATTAAAAAATAGAAAGACTTTTTTCTCTCAAGGAGAAAGTGATTTATTAAAGTAATAGAGATAAAACGAACGTGATTCAAATGACGAAGCCACAGATCCCCGTGCTACTTCTTGAAGGGTTAAATTTATTAAGGCTGAAGTTCAGATCGCCGGACTCGACATTGAACGGGTAATATTGAATATTAGTTCTACTTATTGCGTTTTTAGCGAACGATAGAAGGATAACTTATCGTGTTAATGTTTACACTTTTATATGCGCATCACTTTGATCGCAAGCAAAGAGAAGGCGAGCCGCGAAGTAAATACGTCCGTTATAAAAAAATGCGAATTGAAATTATACTGGGTGTCTTGTCATTTCCTTCGGTTTGCGGATTCTTTCATCAATTCCAAACGGGTTTTTTCCACGTACACGTTAGCTTCTAGAGCGATGAATAATACCACTTTTAGTTATTAATCATATTGACAACTGCAGTTCACTTATCAGATAATGTTTCAAGTGGTCTTTAACAAAACCTTGTTCTTGAAGTTCAAAGCATCTAACAGCAAAAATTTTTAAAAAATTGTACAAAAGATTGCATTATTAAATTTTTAATACGGTCGAATGAGTTTGAATGATTTATTATTTAATTTAGAAAATTGTCAAACGAGCGGAATGACTTTTAAAAATGATATATTATCGTTGAATATCTCTACTGATAATTCGACTCTACTCTCAAAGAATTCGATTGTTGACATAACAATTAATATAACAATATTATTCTTTTTCTTAAGTCTATATTATGAAAATCGTAATCTAATCTATCCGCAAATGTTTACATGTTAATATTTTTATTTGTAATGATAAATAATTCTCTCCGAGATCTGTGCGATTTATACGTATCTATAATTAGAGCAATCGACATATCCCGAATAAAATAACATTTTGTAGATTTACAATAAATACTATAAATATACAATATGAAAGTATCGATAAAGTGATCACTTTTCCGATCAAATTTTTTAGATTTCTCAAAAAAATCTCGGTTTCCGGTTCAAATTAAAAATATCTAGACATGAAAATCATATAAGTAAAAAAATCTAATTAAGATATAATAGATAATTCACGAGTGGTGGTGTGTGACGAGCAGTTAGCTACTTCTCTTCTTTTTCCTTTAACATGACGCAAACGAAACTCGGTAATGAGATTGTCAGTGAATTCGCAAACCAGGTGAGTGAAGCCAGGTCGCATGCACTCGGGACATTGTTGTTCCTTGCCCCGCAATGTTTCCTGGGGCGTTAAACAGCCAAGGCCGAATTAATGCGTGCGCGCGCGATACATACCAACGTCGCCTGATGCGTAATCGGTGACGCGTGTAATGTTTATCGCTCGTGCCACGCCAGCGCGGCGCGCAGAAAGTCACGGCGATCTGAAAAACAAGGGTATATAGCGTGAAAACGACTGGACCTTCAAGATAACTTTAGCCGCGACAGTGAGCGCGCTTCGTAAATCTCGCGTAAAATCTCAATACGTAAACAATGACGGTCAATAGACAGCCGCTTCGCAGATGGACACGTGTTCTTATCGAACCGCTGCGAAACTGTGATGAATTCCTTCTTTATTATTATTATTATTATTCAGGTTGGTGAACGATTTGGCTAGATAAGAGAGAAAGACGCTACTCAGTCGAAGAAAATTGTTGACTCACGTGGTTTCTGATCTAGTCGAGTGATATTCCAAGTTAATACATGTTCTTCTCTGTGGATATTTACATTTGTTATTGAAAGAGAATGTGGATATTTACATTATGTTTGTTATTGAAAGAGAATTTTTTTTGTCAAATAAATTTTGATCAAGCTTCTTTAAAAAAATATAAATTTATTTCACCTTGTGCTAAAAAAAAGAACGAAACAGTACGTAAAAAAAAAAATGAGACTCGTGTTACGCGAATTAAAACGGACGTGACTTATACAAAGAAATTCTAACGTCTCTTGGTTGACTTTATATCGCACTATCTTTACTTTCTGCGATTATGTTTGTTTTGGCATCCTCGCCGACCCTTGCACTCCTTTCAAGTTAGGTAGGTGTCCGTACAGAAATACATTTGTATAAATAGGCAGCGTGCATCGCTTTTCGTATAACTGTCGGGCCATTGTGTCGTTTCTGCGTGCAATCGTTATCCATTATACAAATTCTTTTTTTGAACTTCGGCCCATTGTTCCATCCTATTGTAGTCAAATCTTATTTGTATTTTTCTGACTAAAAAAATTTATTACTTAAAGCACAAAGATTCACTGAAATCTCTTCTGTCGACTCTACTCGGTAACCATAAAGTTACAATTATGTCAAACTTGCGATAAAAATAACTTTAACTTTGTCCAATAATCGTTAATATTATAGTCTTATCAGATAATTTTTATATATAATCATAAAAATTACAGCTTCAAATGTAACTTGTATATAAAAATACAAATTGCGTCGCAAGAAATACCAAGTATTTTTTTATG